CTTTTGGATTGCAATTCCCGTGGAACATTTTTCCTTGAGTTTTCTCCTGTGGCTCTATTGGGGATGGAAGAGAATCTATTGAACTCAGTAAAAATTAGTGTATAATTCTCAAAAGTCAACATGATGCTTCCTGTTTTCAGAGATACCTCAATATTTTGGAGGATCTTATTGATACTATCATTGAATTCTTTGCTTGAATCTACAGAAGAAAGAATCTGCTTGTCAAAATACAAATTCCTAAATTCAAATTTGATAGCATCCTTCAATTTATCATTCAACTGTTGAATTGAGCATCTGAAAACTGAGTTGAAAAAAATCTTAAATTTGGCATTCATCTGAATTCCAGATTTGTTATTTACAAACGCAGTCTTTTTGAGCTCATCACTTCCTGAACATTGAATCCAGTTGAACAATAATTTCCACAAAAAGCTAGGCATTGTATTAGCCAAACTTAGATTTGATAAGACTCTTTCAGGTGTGGTACTTGCTGATTTTTTGAAACTCTCTATTGCACCTGTGAAAAGGATAGAGAGGTTCTCCTTCTTCTTCTCAGAAGATGAGAGGGAAACAAATATTGTATCAATCATGTGAACATAAAATAAGAATAATGGTAGCATTAGGCTTAAATTTTCTGATTGTAACTGTTGCCCTTCAATTTCTGCCATCAAGTTGATATTGGTCTGTTGTTCCCAAAATTTTACCCATAGATTGCTATTTTCCAAGAATTCAGTAAGATCTGCTCTTTTCCATTCGAATGCAACTTCTCCCCTAGAAAAAATTCCACTTTCAGTAATATCAGATGAATCCCTAATGTTATAAGCTTTTTTGATCTCACTGAGCCAAAAAGATGCATTGTCTGAATTCAACATAATACTTCCTGTCGGCCCAATTGGAATTGATTTGAATATTGCAGAAATTCCTCTTTGAGCACCTTTAAATGGGTCTTTAGCAACAAGTATATCTTTATCAAAATTTAAAGTTTTCAGCTCTGATTGTTTGTTCTTTTGTATTTTGTTGGAATTGAGTGGAAATTTAAAATGTTTGGATAAGGGTTTTTCTATCTTGGGTTCAATAACCTCTGGAATTTCGGGCTGTGTGTTGGAGCTCTGAATATGATTTAAAATATCCAATTTGGGTTCAGAAATACTTTGTTTTGGATCCACCACCTGGAAATCAGACTGTTTTTCATAATTTGGCATTGATATGTTCCCAGTAACACATGCCTGTTCAAATGATTTCTTTGGATAGGTTGTTTGTTGTTTTTCTGATGAAATAATCTCAATCCCTTCCTTTGGTTTTTTGAATTGAGATTCTAGACCCAATGGAACTGGATGATAGGTTTGATTCATCTCCTTGGACAATGTTGACATTCTCTTATTTACAAAAGAATTTGTGGATTTGAAAATGGTAGAATGTTTGGGATTCAATTTTTTCAAATGATATGGTTCTTTCTCCTCTCCTTGAGATGAATCTCCCCATCTCATTCCATTTCTCAACTTTCTTGATAATGATACACCCAATGAATCACTATTTGTATAATGCATTTCCTCAAGAGTTGATGGTGACCCATCAACCACACTTGATTTCACAGCTCTGAACTCCTCCTCATTCTTCTTTGGTATCTGTGCAATATAGGTTTTTTGAGACTGATTGATTTTGGGTTTGTTTAAATTTATGCCTGTTAGCTGATTCTCAATATCTTGATTAATTTTTTCATTCTTTATAGTTTCAGAGCTTCTTGTGTTTTTTTTCACAATCTCTACAGGGTTTGATTTGAATTCTTGGATTGAACTTGAGCTCATTCCTTCTTCAGATTGAGGTGTTCTACCCAAGCAAGCCCCCTTTCCACCAGTGAGAGTGCTCAATACTCTGATGTTTTTTACCTGCTGATTTGAGTTATTTATTTGTTGTTTGGTTATAGGTTTTGAGTCAAATTCTGAGACAAAATGACTCTTCCTAGGTTTCTTTCCTTCTGGATCCATGTAATTCTCATCCAGATGTTTCCGGATTTTGGGATTCTCTGTGTGTCTTGAGATATATCTACTACAATCCAATCTACTTATTCCCTCACATTTTGATATCCCTTTGAATGAAGAAACTTCCCTTTCTTTTGTAATTCCTTCTCCATCTTCAGCTCTCAAGTCCCCCAAAAGATGAATTTTCTTCTTTAGTTTTGATGTTTCAGGCTTCATTTTTGAATCTACCAAGCACAAACTTGCTGTGGATTCTTTCTTTGGGTTCAGTTCAGGATATTCAATCAAATTTGAGTTGATATTTTTACCTGAGTTATTCAAGTATATTGGTCTGGCCAAAGAAGGACCATGCTTTTCACAACTCAATTTTTTGACATCCATTGATATTTCTATGGATTTTCCCTTATCATTCAATCTTACTCTATCGTTTTTCTGTTGGTTTTTATTTTTGGGATTGACATCTGAAAGTGTAAGCGGTTTCATTTTATGTTTGTTGACTATTGGACACATCAGATGATTATCCGCAGATTTCTCAATTCTGGAATCTGCAATTGCACTTGGAACTTCCTTCATTAAAATTCCTCTTGATATCCTTTTAAATACATCTTTCTTTGTTGAAGTGGAAGTCAAACTTCCCTTATTCTTTCTGAATCCTTGCCTAGATGCAGTTTCAATGTAGGATGAGTTCAAAAAGTCCCCCAAAAGATTAGGTTTAGTTCCAGTTGTTTTTGGTTGGTGCTTGGTTTTGGATTCTTCCAATGCATCCCCAGATTTAGAAGAATTGATTGAAGCATTTTCAAGATTTCTTTCTTTGCTATAGTATCCATTTTGAAACGCCTGGTTAGAGTAGCTGGCCATCTTTCTGCTTGCCATTGCCCCAGAGTCCAGTGATGATGAGAATGTTGAATAAATATGAGCAGATTTATTTTGTTTCAGTGGGTATTTAGCTCCAATTTCCACTGGAGTGTTCTGTTGTTGAGCCAGAAAATTACCTTTCCCAACAATATGTTGCTCCTTCACATGAACTTGAAGCTCTGACATTGATGGAACGGTGACTTCATGTTCAAGCAAAGAACTTGGGCTTTGAATCACTATTTTTGGTAATTCCGCCTTGTTTTTTAGCTTTCCTTCATTTGGTGAAATCAATGACATTCTAGGTTTAAGTTCTTGAGGATGAGATGGTGAGATCTGAATTTCTTCACTGGTGGGAAAATTGATAGGGTTATGAAAGTGTTCCATTGCATTACAAATAACAAAGCTTCCCAAAAAGGAAAAGAGGTAAAATTTCTTCATTGTTGAAATTTTGTTTATGGCTTACCAGTCAATGAGTCAGGGAAAAAAATTTGAATCGTGGCTCTGTGAATTTTCCTGAGCAATTTTCTCCTTGAATTGCCACAATGATAGTCTGTAATTTAGTTTCTGTGCACAAGATGATACTAATTTCCCCGAGCCAAGCTGTTCCACATGTGATGAATCTGAATAAAATATGAAGTAAATGTTATACAATATTGAAACAAGTCTCTCATTAAATATTACTCATGATTCAGCATGCTCTGTCTTTGATACAATCTTCTGTTTTATCCAAGTCACAGTCAGAACTACATTTTCCAAAACCCTGCCCCACTTGAATTGTCCACCTGGCTTTTTACTTGTTGAATGAAAACTAATCGATTCATAAACTCTCTTTCCATGAACCGTTCCCAAAAAATAAGATCCTCATTTTTTGGCCCTCCACCTCTTGCGTGCCTAAGTTTTAAAATTTCAACAACACATAACTCAGCATAGTGCACACCACAAATAAACTGCATGTTTTTTGGCACTCCCATCTTGGATGAACAGGTTTTATGACCTGCTTGCTCACAAGATGGTTCTCCTGATTAAACAGGTTACACCCCTGTTAATTTTGTCTAAGGGGACTTCCTTTGAGTCTTGGACACGCAGGTTATGCAACCTGTTCATCCGGAAGGGGTGTCTGGGGATCAAGATGCGCGGTTACTCGCCGGCATTTGGCTGCCCTCAAATATGAAATCCACAATTTGCCACCTGTTTTCAACTTTATCAGCTGTCATTTTGAACAAAAAAAAGCTAGGGCACCCGGGCGCCACCGACCGAAGGCTTCAGTTTTTGATAGCCTCGAGGCTTTTTCCTCATTTTGCAAGGTGGTACCAATAATCCCAGTGCAGATGCATAGCCACCCACAAAATCTGATGTGAGATGAAAACAGCACTTATTTGCTGGTTGATAGGAACGATTTGGAATTTGGTGGCCATTTTATCATATACCAGCCGCACCTTCATGAATCCTTTTTATTAAACCATTGACAATTGAAGTTAGTGGAAGCACTTTGAAAGCACTGTAAAATCTTGCCATCTGGTTTTGTCATAAAACCAAAATGCAATACTCAGCTTACGAGCACATAAAACTTTACGAGCACATAAAACTCTTATGTGCTCGTAACCTGAGTATTAGTTACATTTCCACAATTCTTGTCCTCGCACTCGCAGACGTAGCGGCATTGGTATGTAATGTGTATGTTGGTTGATCATCTTGGCGTCGAGCGAATGGATCGGTGCAGCTCATGTTCAATACAGTGATCTGTAAAAATACATAGTGACAGCATGGATCACAAGCGATCAAAAGTCAACTGAGTTTTGGATCGACGAGCGTCCCTCCAGCCGGATCATCTTAGCTCGGTGCCATCTTGACTCTTGAGTGCCGACAAGGTCACAAGCGGCATGGCAGCTTTACAAAAGTCAGCTGGGAGGAATCATTTAAGAGAGGCGACCGTTACCCAGTTCGAGTCTTCTCACAGTTAGTTCTCACTGGCACTCCACCACACGCGGCCTACCCTACTTTCCAAGCATTGCACTTCTGTGACTCGTTTGTGCAGGAACGGTTGACCCAGCTGCCTCATCATTTGACTCGAGTAGTGGTTTGAGAGACAAAGCCTCTCCCTCAGGTCCTGCCTCACACATCAGACTTACTTTCCAGCTTAACTTGTACTCTCCTGCCTGTTAGAGAAGCCTTGCGTTGATCGCCGGCTATCTTGACCTTTGAAGTACGAACCTTCCATCCTTTCTCCGACCCAGTCCATCACCTTTTCCCCAAAAACACCTCCATCCAACGCTTGCAGAATGGCCGATTCCAATGCCCAACCCAAAGCCGCCCGCAATTTCGACAAAACCTTCGAGGAAGAAAAAGCGGCCACGAGATGTTTGGTTGATATGAAAACCATCCAGTTGAATGCCGAGGACCTTTATGATCGCGAAAAGGTGGACCTCGAACAAGTAGAGCTCGAAGATGTTTGGGTGTTATTACAGTTAGTCCATGCTTGATTTTGTTTTGTTAAAAGTACTCAGTCACATGCTCACATCTGGCCTTTGATTTGCTCAGAACAAGTGAAAATGGTTTAGATGCGGCTGAAGTCGAAAGGCGACGCGGCATATTCGGTCCCAACCGTCTGGAAGAAAAATCTGTCAACCCATTCCTGCAATTCTTAAGTTTCATGTGGAAGTGAGTATCGGTTCTTTTGTTTATGTGTGGGTTAGTAATATTTCCTGTTTGCTGAATTCCGACCTTTTTTCTAGTCCCCTCTCATGGGTCATGGAGGGTGCTGCAGTGGTGTCTATTGCCCTCTCCAATGGGGAAAACCGTCCCCCAGACTGGCAGGTTCGCAGTAGTCTTGCATTATCATTCGCAGTTTTGATTTGACAGTCTCATCATTGTTGTTAATTGCCCTGGCTGTAGGATTTCGTGGGTATCATGGCGCTTCTCCTGATTGTAAGTCCACCCTTCTCCTCTAGGCTCAAGCGAAAAAAGTCTTATACCCTTTTTCCGTCCTCAGAACTCAGGTATTGGTTACTACGAGGAGAGATCTGCTGGAAACGCCGTCAAAGCTCTGATGGACTCCCTTGCCCCCAAGGCAAAAGCACGCCGAAATGGGCAGTGGTCCGAAATTGACTCGGCTGATTTAGTTCCTGGTGATATCGTTGCCTTCAAGGTAAGTTGACCAATCTGCCCTTCATAATATCTAGTTTTCATCGCATTTCCTGATGGTGTTCTGTTTTTCAGATCGGTGATGTCGTGCCGGGAGATTGTCGGTTGTATGATGCAGTCAATGTCAGCATCGACCAAGCAGCCTTGACTGGTGAATCACTGCCAATCTCCAAATCAGTCGGCGACCAATGTTTCTCGGGATCGATCTGTAAGCAGGGTGAAGCTGAGGGTATCGTGAGTGCTACCGGTGCAAACACATTTTTCGGACGAGCTGCCACCCTGGTTGGTGCAGAAAATGACTCCACCGGACACATGCAAGCGGTTTTGGCAAAGGTACTTAATTCAGAGCTCTGGTGACTTATTTTTGCATCCACTAGAGCAGGTGGCTGACTATTATATATCTCTGCTATACAGATTGGCGGTTTCTGTCTCGTCTCCATCGGCATTGCCATTGCACTCGGTGGGTAATATATGCATCGTTTCTTTCAAAGCAGAGATCAGAGCACTGATTTTCTGGTCTTCCACATTCTATATGCAGAGCTCATCGTTCTCTATGGGGCATTCCGCTACTCTTACCGTCGGGGTTTGGACAACATCCTTGTGTTGCTCATCGGTGGTATCCCGATCGCTATGCCTACTGTCCTGTCTGTTACTCTCGCTGTCGGCGCCCAACAGCTCGCCAAGTACAAAGCTATTGTCACCCGTATCACGGCCATCGAAGAACTCGCCGGTGTCACGATCTTGTGCTCTGACAAGACCGGTACTCTGACTACCAACAAGCTCACGATTGACAAATCTACCATCAAGACTTACTCCGACGTTGGGCCGGAAGATGTCTGCGTTCTTGCCTCATATGCTTCCCGGATTGAGAACCAAGATGCGATTGATGCTTGTGTGGTCGGTACCGTCGGAGCTGATGTAGCGCGTCGAGGAATCAAACTCGTTGATTTCAAGCCCTTCGACCCAGTTTCTAAGCGAACCGAAATTACTTACATCGATATCGCCACTGGTGAAATGCGCCGAGTGACCAAAGGAATGACCGGAAAGATCATGGACCTGTGCACCTACAACAAGACCGATGAAATCGAGCGACAACTCGAAGCCGATGTTGAAGAGTTTGCCCGTCGAGGTTTGCGAGCTTTGGCCGTTGCTTATGAGGATGTTCCCAGCGGCGATGCCGAAGGACCCGGAAGCGGATTCCAGCTCATCGGTCTCTTGTCCATCTTCGACCCTCCCCGAGACGATACCAAGCAAACGATTGATGATGCAGTGAGCCTCGGACTCAAGGTTAAGATGGTCACTGGTGATCAACTTGCCATCGCAAAGGAAACTGGCCGACGATTAGGACTTGGTGACAACATGTTTGCCTCGAAGGTTCTCAAAGAGGGACCCCCGCCCGGAAGTAACTTTTCTTCTGTTGATACCATGATTCTCGGTACGTTTCTCAATCATTTGTGTCTTGGCCAGCTAACAGCTAGCTAACACAATCCCTGTTCACACAGATGCCGATGGATTTGCGGGAGTTTACCCTGAGCATAAGTATGAGATTGTCAAAAAGTTGCAGAGCTTAGGCCATATGGTTGCCATGAGTGAGTGTTTTAGATTTTTATTATTATATGCTCGATCATAAACACTGACCAGATGGCATTCTACCTTTCACCTCTCGACAGCCGGGGACGGTGCCAACGATGCCCCTGCTGTAAGTCCCGGGTCATAAGTCCACCTCCACAAGTCGCGATATTGATCCCTTTTCTTTCACTCGACTAGCTTGCCCGTGCCAATGTCGGGATTGCCGTTGAAGGTGCTACAGATGCCGCCAGAGGAGCCGCTGACATTGTCCTCACCGAGCCCGGTCTCTCGACCATCGTACACGCCATCCGACAGTCCCGAATCGTCTTCCAAAGGATGAGGAATTACTCCATCTATGCCTGTGCCGTCACCATCCGTATCGTCGTTGGCTTTGCCATCATGGCCTTTGCTTTCCAGTTTGATTTCCCTCCGTTCATGGTCCTGGTCATCGCTATCTTGAACGACGGAACAGTCATGACTATTTCGCTCGATCGCGTCTTGCCCAACAACGAACCTGATCACTGGGACCTGGCTGAGATTTGTGAGTAATCTTGACTCTCGTACTCTTTAGCCATTAGCCATACTAAAATCTTGATCCCGATGATAGTCACATACGCCGTCGCATATGGTCTTCACCTCGCTTTGTCAACCGTTCTCTTGTTTGTCGTCATCGTCAACACCACATTCTTCGAGGATAACTTCGGCCTATCGCCCTTGAAGGATGCGAATGACCCTCAGTTACACATGGTTATCTACCTCCAAGTCGCCATCATCTCACAAGCTTTGATCTTCATTACCCGGTCTCACAGTTGGTTCTTCATGGAGCGACCATCTTTGGCTTTGATGGGCGCGTTCTGCATAGCTCAAACTGTTGCTTCGTTGTTGGCTGTCTTCGGGACTATGGAATTCTCGTCAGTTCAGGCCATTCCGGTGTCTTGGGTCGCGGTTGCATGGGTCTGGAACATTATCTGGTTCCTTCCAATGGGTTGGTACCACCTTCTTCTTTCGCATCAATTAATGCAATCCTGACCGCCTGTTTCCATCTCAGACCTAATCAAGTTCACAACTCGAGCCTTACTCAAGAAATTCCGATCTCACCAAGTGAAACCCGTGGCGGTTGAGGCAACTCCAGCGGTCCGCCAGTCCACCACCGGATCACTCTACAACAACAGGATGAGCTTCATCCAACGCGCTGAACACACACAACAAGTCCGACGATCTTTACATGGACAAGTCCAGACCACTGAACGCGATTTACGCAGG